AAAAGTCTAAGTTCTAAAAAAAAAAAAAACATCTGTCTGTTGACAAGGCCTTTTTGGAAGATTTATCCCAAACTTTGAGACAAAGAGAGCTTAACGGGGCGGGTTGTCTTCCGTTACCTTCACCTCTCTGCCTCCTCATGTCTTTGTAAATGAGGAGGAGTAGGATGGTGGACAGGCAGTAAGGAGCTCCAACAATCAGGTGCCGGTGGAGCATAGAGAGGGCAGCAGGAGGCTCCTGGCCTGCAGGGGGCGCTGTGAGGAGACAGAGACCTTTAACCAGCGGGTAAAGATGCTGCAGTGACCTTTACTCCAGTGGCTTTTTGGACAGATCGCTCTTGTAAAAGTTGGTTAATGATTACTCAGAATACCTAAAATGATCATAAAACGCCACAGAAACTTTACTGTTAGAAAAGGGAATAAACCCAATACAAAACGGTCCCTTTGACTCAAAAGTAACGCTACATTTACATTAACTGAGTCACTTTTTGGACTAATTTGAATGTTGAATATCTAATTTGAATATCTGAAATCAGTCAAAGCTGTTTATTGCGATTCTAAAATGGCGGAAACAAGGCCGATCCATATTAGATCCATATTATTCCATTTACAATTCTACTTTTGGGATAAACTCTCTGGCTGTGCCTCCTCCTCTCTCTGTTACAGCAGATACTCATCTTCAAGCTCAACATTCACACTTTTTAATCACATTCCACTGAAACCTTCATGAATTAGGACCTGGCCTGTTCATGTCAGAGCTAACTGGCCAATAACACTCGTCCTCCTGTTCGAGGCCCAGAGGAAAACTGTCCATCAGACCTGGAAATGGAGGCTCTTTGTCTGTGAGAGCCCAGCTGATTTACTCTGCTTGTGACCAATAAATGTCATATTTGTACTCTTGATCTGCTCTGGTTTATTCCCAGGCTTCCTGAATCCCACTAACAGCTGCCTGAACTCAAACTTTAGGTTAACTCATTGGCTGCCAAAGACGTCTATAGACGTCTTTTATGTTTTCAACGAGAGTGGCTGGGGAACGATCTGCTAAAGCTTGTCCGTAAATATCAGGCTTCTAGACAGAGTATGTAGTAACAAATTGACCCTCTAGCGGGCAGTGCCACTTTTGATGGGAGATGAGCATAGACTGTAGGCAAATAAGAAAAAGGTAACGGTTCGCTATGAGAGAACATGTCGCCGGTGAGACGCAATTCGAGGAAGAACAGAATAAGGTAGAAACAATTTTTTGTTCCTGATGAAAGAAGAGAGTCTACTCTTTCTTTTGGTGTGTTCGGTGTTTACATAATCATAGCACAAACTATTCTGTGGCTCTTGAAAATTCAGTCAAAATGCTCAAAAAACTCTGGCAGTATGGGACTCTCTGTTCTGAAAATGGCTGCCAGTCAATGAGTTAAAAAAGCAGAGTCTGAGCCCCAGTTTTTCAGTATTTCCCTTTACCTCTAACAGCCACCCAGCTCTGCGGTGATTCCTCCAGGCGGGACACTCTGCAGCTGTAGAGTCCCTGGTCTGATCTGGAGACGTTCTGGATGGTGATGGTTCCCGTGGAGCTGTTTCTGAGGAGGAACCCGTCTTTGAGGAAGAAAACTCCGTGCTGACAGGCTTCCGGCGGCTGGCAGCGGCACCTCAGGGCCACATCCATCCCCTCCATCAGGGGGAGAACCGGGCTCTCCAGGATCACCCGACCACCTGCAGGGGAGGGGGATAAAAACAAAAACACAGAGGAGGGAGAGGTTAGAGCAGACCGTCCTTAATAATAAACAACATTAGACTTAGACTTGGACTTAGACAGTACTTTATTGATCCCTTGGGAAGACTCCCTCAGGAAATTAAGGTTACCAGCAGCTTACAGGGCAAACAGTGTCAAGTTAGAATCAAATCAAGCAAAAATATACAAATAAATAAATAAAAATACAAAAAATACAGATTAACCTCCTGAGACCCGAGCTTTTATTTGGCATGCATTTTAGCTTTTTTTTTTAAAGATATATGAGATACATATTTAATTAAATGTTTTTACAATTTTGTTCTGACAGTCCCATTGACTCATTTACAGTTTTTTTTATTACACAATAAGAACATGATTGGATGGAAATGTATAAAACCATTTTACTTTAGATTTCAAACAGTGTCTGATAGCATCTGCTATGAGGCCAAGAGGTCAAAGCTGAAAGAAAAAAAGAAGTATCATGGTAAAGAGAGACAAAAATGCAACGTCCTCTCATGAGGACACAGGGTCTCAGGAGGTTAAGTACAGTGTATGTGTATGTGATATGTGATATCTCTTCCCCCTGTCCTGTGTCACCTCCTCGCCCCCAGTGAGGCGTTGTACAGTTTGATGGCGTGGGGGACAAAAGAGTTCTTAAGTCTATTATTGTCAATCTAAATGTTTAAATGTAAAAAATTTGAAAATCAGATGTAAGCAGATGTTGAAATAATTCAAAAGTATCCTTATGATTGGCGTGCCAATACCAAAAAACAAAATACCATACATATTTTAAATGTACCACACAAACTCTGAAAAAACGAGTGAAATTAATAAAATATGATAGAACCGGGCTCTCCAGGATAAACCGACCACCTGCAGGGCAGGGGGAAACAAACACAGAAAAAAGACAAAAAAACACACACAGAGAGGAGGGACCAGGTCAGAAAGGACCGTCCTGGTTCTGACGGTGCGTTCACTGACACCCCGAGAGCGTTCACCACCAGAGCACCATGGCCTCACAGCCAGAGGGTTCTGGGTCTGAGTCCCAGAGGGTTCTGGATTCTAGTCCCAGAGGGTTCTGGGTTCTAGTCCCAGAGGGTTCTGGGTTGGAGCCCCGGGGGAACCAGGACCAGAGGGTTCTGGGTCTGAGTCCCAGAGGGTTCTGGGTTCCAGTCCCAGAGGGTTCTAGGTTCTAGTCCCAGAGAGGTTCTGGATTCTAGTCCCAGAGGGTTCTGGGTCGGAAGTTTCCCATCGAACAGTACAGTACGAAGAAGGTCAAAGGTCAGGAACAGCTTAGTGTGAGTGTGTGTGGTTGTTGGTCCTTGTGTGTCTCTGTGTGTCCCTGTGATGGACTGGGGACCGTCCAGGGGGACCCCGCCTCTCCCCATTGGCTACTGGGATAGGCTCCGCCCCCCAGTTAGGCATTAGGGAATAAGTGGTTAGGATGATGGACGGATGGATGGATGAAATGAATAAAAAGCTAAATAAATCGTCTAAATCCCGGCGGCTGGACGTACCGGTGACGGTGATGTTGACCCTGTTGCTTTTTGCTCCGAGTCCAGACTCACACCAGTGCTCCCCGCTGTCCGTGGAGGGGAAGGCGGCCTGGACAGAGCAGGGGGGCAGACACGGGTGCACCTGGGGGGGAAAAACACTTCTACTAATCAATCAATCAATCAATCAATCAATCAATCAATCAATCAATCAATCAAGCAATCAAGCAATCAATCAATCAATCAAGCAAGCAAGCAAGCAATCAATCAATCAATCAATCAATCAATCAATCAAGCAATCAAGCAATCAATCAATCAATCAATCAATCAATCAATCAAGCAAGCAAGCAAGCAAGCAAGCAATTAAGCAATCAATCAATCAATCAATCAATAAAGCAATCAAGCAATCAAGCAATCAATCAATCAAGCAATCAAGCAATCAATCAATCAATCAATCAATCAACAAATCAATCAATCAATCAATCAATCAATCAATCAATCAATCAATCAATCAATCAATCAATCGATCAATCAATCAATCAATCAAGCAGTCAATCAATCAATCAATCGATCAATCAATCAATCAATCAATCAATCAAGCAGTCAATCAATCAATCAATCAATCAATCAAGTTTATTTGTATAGCCCTTTACAATACCCAAATGGTACTCAAAGTGCTTTAAAACAAAGCCATAAAACAATACAAAAAACATACAAACATACAGAAACAACTAAAAACTTTTACTAACAGCCTTTTCTCACAGTCTGACAATTAATTTTTACCTCTCTGAGGCGATGCTCCATCCCACCTCTTTTCTTTGGTTTTTTACTTTTGACAGCATGTAGAGCGTTGATTTTATGTATATACGTGCATATTTTTTACTTTTTGCTTTTATTTCTTACTGTGTACCTCATCTTTTCTTGCTGTACTTCTACTGTGTTGTTTATTTTTTCTGGATGTGTTTTTGTGCAGCACTTTGGAAAACCTTGTGTTTGTTGAAGTCGTGCTATATGAATAAAAGTGGATTGGATTCGATTGGAAATAAATACACAGGACTGTCTCAGAAAATTAGAATATGGTGATAAAGTTCTTTATTTTCTGTAATGCAATTACAAATCATGAAATGTCATACATTCTGGATTCATTACAAATCAACTGAAATATCGCAAGCCTTTTATTGTTTTAATATCGCTGATTATGGCGTACAGCTGAAGAAACCCAAATATCCTATCTCAAAATATTAGAATATCGGATTTTTGAGTTTTCTTCAGC